ATGGTTTGTTTTGACCATTAACACCCTATAGGCTGTAAGTGGTGTCTAAAAGTTGCCGTCTATTTTCCTCATGCAATAGTAGGGAATCCCGTTCCGATGTTGAAGTCAGTTTATGAACAGTGTCTCTCTTAGATTTATGTCAATTAAAGATTCTCAGATACAGTGTATCAAAAAAATGAATACGGAACAAAATTGCAGTATTCCCCAAAGGGAAGTAGACTCGACACTTGAGTAATATTTACATCAATTATGATGATGTGTGTTCGTTACAGTCCCAGGTGTATATATAGATCAGTAACACCCTTCACTTTCTGGTGACTGAAAAGGGAGACATGTGAGATACTATTTTGTCAATTTGCTGTTGTACTCACTGTTGGTTGTCTCAAACCCTGTAGTTTCCGCCGTAGTCCTTGGGAAGCTTATCCCTTGTAATATTTGTAGACACGGTGCACCGTGATTTCAGGGTACTTGAGTGGTAATCAAATAGTGTTAACTGAAGGTCCAAACAGATGTCTTCCCCTCATCGTGTTTAAACTGAACTTTTTCATGGAGGCTGCCTTGTGTGTGGGTTTACACAGCTGATAGATCAAACATACTCCGGCCGATGCATTTCACCCCGCCTACCGGGGCTTCGTCAGAGCCTTCTGGATGGCTGGTGAGTGGTTGTTTTAAGTAACCCTTGCACACCTGCTGTGTAATTTTAATCAGAGTGTATGCTCGTTTCTTAGAGTGAAGATGAGGATTATGTTATAAAAAACAAGAGACATGGCTAATCGTTCATTCATTCCGAACATATTTAGGTCTTGTCATTCAATAAGTTAAAAAGTAAAAGATGAAAAAACTACCATATATAGACCTTTTTTTTAAAATATAAAAAGAAAAAAAGACACAAAATTTCAGTCATTATTGTGGAACTTCGTTTTAGAGAAAAACGCTCAGATTAATTTCATTGTTAAGGCCTGAGGGTATCATGGTATCGAGTTTGAATATCCATGTCTTTTCTTTTTGTTGGAGCACCTTATCAAAGTCTCCTCTTCTTGGGGATAAATTCAACGCATAGATGCCCTTTACGCTCAGGCCTTCTAATGATGAATTATGGTGGTCTGCAAAATGTATTGCTAAAGGGCTATCAATTTCCTTATTCTTGATATCTCTGAAGTGTTTACCTATACGTATACGCAACTGTCTTTTAGTTTTACCAATATATAGTTTTTTGCATGGACACTCTAACATATATATTATTTTACTACTCCCACAGTTTATATATTGGGTAATTTGGTAAGATTTTGTACCATCCGTATTATGAAAACATTTGTTTTTTTGTACATAAGGGCATACCTGACATTTGCCACAGGGGTACATTCCTTTTATTTTTGGCATTTTTGACAGAAATGACAAAATGACATCCTTGCTTGGTCTGTACTCTGAGCTAACTAAATGGTCCTTCAAGTTTTTTGCTCTACGTGCTGTCAATAAGGGACGTGGGCCGACTATGTTAGCAATGATGGGGCAAAGTTTTAAAACATGCCAATGTCTATCAAAAATCTGCTTCAATTTCGGCCAACAAGTCCCATATTGAATAATCATTCTAACATGGTTTTCTTTTTTCTGTTTCTCTTTTTTTGATGTTTTTGTCCCTTTGAGAATTTCTATTCTATTTTTTTCTCCTACTTTTGCTTTACTTTTTCTAAGAGTTCTGTGTGAATAACCTCTCTGTCTGAACCGGTTATATATGGTTTTAGATTCTTCTATATAGTCAGAGTGTTTAGTGCAATTACTTTTAATTCTTAGGAACTGTCCTGTGGGGATTCCTTGTTTTTGTGATAGAGGGTGGTGACTTGTTGCATGGAGGAGTGTGTTGGCGGCAGTCTCCTTTCTAAAGGTTTTTGTAATCAATCTTCCTGTTCCAGTTTTAATCATCAGGTCCAAAAATTAAATTTCTGAACGACTATGGGTAAATGTTAATTTTAAATTACGTTCATTAATGTTTAGCTCGGAAATGAATTCTTTCAGTTCATCTTCATTACCTTGCCATATCATCAACACGTCATCAATGTACCTGAGTCACGTTTTGACGTGGCCCAGGTACATAGGGTGATTATAAACTACCTCCTTCTCCCAGAGCCCCAAGTGGAGACATGCATAGGCGGGTGCCCATGGTGCTCCCATTGAGGTTCCTCTATATTGTCTGTAATATGATCCAGAAAATTGGAAATAATTGTTGGAGAGTGCAAAGTCGAGCATCTCCAGCAAAAATTAGTTTTGGGCTGCCATTTCTGGAAAATTTAAATCAAGAAAATACTTCACTGCTCGTAAACCCCATTCATGTGGGATGGATGTATACAGTGATTCTACATCCACCCCCATTAAAAGGATATTTTCCATGGTTTTTAGATCTTCAATTTTATTCAATACATCCCGTGTCTTATATATATGAAGGCAAACCGAGGACCATATCTTTCAAGAGATGGTCTAAGTATTTGCCCAAATTTTCCAAAATGCCCCCCACTGCAGACACAATGGGTCTTCTTGGTGGATTTTTATCGTCCTTATGAATTTTAGGAATAATGTAAAATGTGGGAATATTGAATATATCGGTCTTCAGAAAATTGGATTCCTTCTTAGTGATTAAACCTGCTTCATTTGCCATGTTTATTTAAAAATTATAGTCACTGATGAGTTGTTTAAAAGGGGCATTGGTTAGCTTTTCATATGTTTGTTTATCATTAAGAAGTCGTTTGGCTTCTGTTACATACATTTTTTCAGTTAATAAAACCACATTGCCCCCTTTATCACTGTTCTTGATGATTAGACCTGGTGTGTCTTTTAATTCCTTTAAAGCTTTTCTTTCTATAGGGGTTAAATTATCTATGCCTTTAAGGTCCTAAGTTGTTTCATTCAGATCTTTTTGGACCAATTCTCTGAAAAGCGATATATATCTATTATTAGTTAATGTTGGCATGGTCTTTGATTTTGGTTTAAGTGGGGTGATTCTCCGTGGGGTATCCCCGGAGTCATCTCCGGAGGTTCTCCTCAAGGAGAGCTTCTAAATCTTTCAAGGCTTAGATATCCATATTTTCTTTATCATTTCTTTTATTTTCATCAAACGTAGGGTCAATTAGTTTTCTTTCATGGACACATCTTAAATATACTTTTCTTAAAAATAAATTGAAATCTTTGTAAATTGTGAAATCGTCCATTCCATTAACAGGGGAAAATGATAAACCTCATTTTAATAGGTTTATATGTTGTGCTTTCAACTCAAAGTTGGTGAGATTAATCACATTTAGAGATATCTCTTCCCCTTGTGTATGGTTTGGATCTACGTGCGTTGATTTGTTCGCCTTGTCATCACTCTGTTCTCCCGACTGTTGTCTTGTTTTTTTATTGTTGCGTTTCCCTCTATGTTTCCTCTTTTTTCTTTGAACTTTGCTTATGTCCCCTCCTCCTCTAAATCTAAAAAACTGACCGTCTTATATGTGTGTTCCCCTTCACTCTCACTTGTTCCCTCCATATATCGTTCTTTATTTCTGAATTGTCTTTTTTTGGAGGGACTTCTCCCTCTTCTATTTGTTAGATCAAAAAAATTCCCTCTCTCCCAGTCGTCAAGGTGTCTTTGATATTTATTTTGTTTTGTTTGTCTGAGATTTTTTTGAATTCTTTCGATTTCCTTACGTAGGAATTCATTTTGTTTTTTTGAAGGAGTCATGATCTTTTAAAGGTTCCAAGTTCTTTTTTGTTCAATATATTTTAATTATTATAATTACACTTAAATACAATACAATTTACATAGTGCATTTAAAAAAAAGAAACAGGACAAAAGTATATCGTACATATATCTTTCACATACAATTTCTAACAAATCTACCTCCACATTCTTCTCTCATTCATTCCCACCTTTCATATCTTCTTCTGGATTGGGGTGAAGTCAGCATTTATACACCTGTAATGTTATTTCCCTCCCCGTAATCTAAACTCTGTGTCTGTCTCCCTGTCCACCTCCTCTTGGTGATCACTCTACTCTTCTTTTGTATACACTCTTCATGTGTTCAACTAAGTCTTAAAGACAAATTCTCCAATTATTTGTGTTACCTACTTTAATCCTCTAATCTACCCTATATATCTGTGTTCCTACTCTTCATATAAACCTAAATAGTAAATCCCAAAAATTACATTCCATTAACAAACCTTATATGTGCCTATCCCCATCCACCTTGCCCCTTTCACTTCCCCAATTAAAACCTCTTTTCTACCCTCCCTTCCCCCATTGCGTCTTTCTCCCAATCCTCCAGAATACATTCTTCCTTCCCTGTTATCGTGTCACTCATACAGGTCTAAAATCTGAATTAATATTTTATATATCTATCCAGAAGTCATAATTTTGCAACTTGGCCGTGTATTCATTACCCTTCTATTTCTGTAGTAATATCAGTAGTGTCTATGGATACGTAATTTCTTCCCCTCTATGTCCCCTTCTTACTACTTAATCCTTTTCTAACACCTTTCTAAATTCCTCTGTCTGTCTATATATTCCCCATTTTTCACATATCTTTTTGTAACTTTCCTTTTTATTTGTATCCTTTGCACTTAGTTCCTCCATATATCTTATTTCTTTCATTGTGTTAGACCAATTCTCTGATGTAGGTGGTGCCGTTGATTTCCATCCACGCGCTATACTAACTCTAGCTGCAACCAGTACAAATCTTAGGATATCGCTTTTTATATTTTTTAGAGATCCAGGTATCAGTGATAATATAGCCATTAAGGGATCTTTTTCAATGTTTTGTCCCTCTATAGAGTTATATATTTCAAATACTGACTCCCAAAACGGCTGTAATCCACCAGATATGCAAGTATGTCCCCTCCTCTAAGATACCTCTCCAACATCTATCGGACAATTCTGGATTTATATGTTTAATACCCTCTTTCGTTCTGTTATTCTGTTTTGTTTTGTTCTGCATTGTTATTTTTCCTTTTTGTTCTTTAAATCAATTCTCCAGATCCATATGTGAAGATTCATCTCATGCAGAATGGCAAGCGATTGAAGAAGAAAAAAACCACCATTAAGAAAAACACACTGAATCCCTACTATAATGAGTCATTCAGCTTTGAAGTTCCTTTTGACCAAATCCAGGTGTGGACCATAAATAATAATTTGCATTCAACGTGAGAAATGATCTTGTTATAGAAATGTATATCGTATTTAAATCCGCTGCGCTTAAAAGCACAGTTCTCTGCTCTCCCGGTATAATTTGGCTGAATGTGCTCAGCAAGGAAACACAGACACTCGCTGTTGTCTCGTCAGATCCTCAGTCGCTGTCCTCCTCACTTGAGGAAGACTTTTTTATTTATAGGGGTAACACAGGAAGTGCTGGCCACAACAGCCACCACTTCCTCATACAACAATAGAATACAGAGCCAGCCAATGAAACACATGTATACATCTGAATAGACAATAGAAAAGGGGAGGGTATGCTCATGCATGTGAAGCACCGTGCACAGTTAGCAGCTGCTAGTTTATGTTTCACGTGCACATTTGTTAACAATGGATTTCCCGCCAAAAACACTTACACAAAGGAAGCAGCATGTTTGCACATGGACGACGCCATCTTTAATCTCCTGTTAACACTGGAGCGAACTTTATCCAGCATTGCTCAGTGAGCAATGCCCAATAAAGTTATTATGATTTGCATTGATGGGAGCTTATGTGCATGGACAATGCCATACTACTTCCAACGCGCTGATCAGACGCATCAGAAATACCAACGCACGTTCCTTTCAAAAATGCAGATATGTATCTTAAATAATACTATGTTCTCAAAGCAAATGTATACACGCCACGCTAATAAATCCACGCACCGCGCAGGGGCCCTAGCTTGGCATCCACATACTCGCTAAGAGAACATTGCTCCGCCATATCCACTCCAATGGTTTATTTCCAGTGCCGAATAATCCGGGTCACGCTCCAATCGAGCGTGACGCAGAAATCCGGACACTGAGACATGATGACAATATTACACTAAAAACACATCCTAGTAAAATTTCCACAACAGTCTTGACATTTCAAATGTCTTCTAAAGCATAAATGTTTTTGTTTTTTCATTTCCATTATTTGTTGTTTGGGAATCTAGTAGGATTATTGAAAAGATGTTGTTATACCCACATTATTAAATTGGACTGTTGTCTGATATAAATAACTTAAAAGAAAAGTAAAGCCAAGCCTTATTTTTGGATTCACTTCTTTTTTGCCAGCTGTTAGCTGACAGCACGGAGCCGTGCTGCAGCCTAGAAGTATCCCTAGAATTACTAGAATTACTAGAAGTAATTTTGTTGCATCCACATTGGCTACTGAAGTGACAGATGGCTCTGCCTTTCTGCACTTGGTTTAAAGTCAGTCAGTCGTGCACACCCACTCCCCTGTCTGTTGCTCCCTGTTGGAGAAAGTGACCAACAATTACGGCTCTCTGCTGGGAGAAGAGACAGAGAGATGATCAAAGGTTGCATAATCAGTCAGTTCTTGGACTTAGAGCCAACATGTGACAGTTGCAGTGTCCCTATCTGGCTCTAAGTATTGGGGAGAGTATGTTTGCTCCTTCAAATAATGTTATAATCATGTTATTTGAGATATGAGAACATAATTCTCAATTCATGTAGAATTGGTCCCAAAATGCAGACAGGATTAGATTCAGGCCAAATTTAATGAATTTGGATGACCCAAGCCAAAGCTAACTTTCAGTTTGGTTCCAAATGGCTTCTGTGTGCCATATGACCTCCAAAGCAATCAGAGCTGCTGGAAAATGTTATATTTACTCTGGTATAAAAGGAAGCCTCCTGAGTTACTTAAGCTGGCCATACACCTATAGATTATTTGCAGATTTGCTATGGGCAAATGGAAAAAGTGCTACAGATTGCTCTATCTAGTCTAAACTGTGTGGATGGGGGAATCTTCCACTGGGCCAAGCTTCAGTATCTTTCTAGTCGGTCCTGCTTGCTCTCAAACCTGAATAATGCCTGCATCCAATCAGATTGTTCAGGTATTTTGACAACCTTCGGGGACGGACTAGCAAGATACTGAAGCTTGGCCCATCGGGAGATTCCTTCATCCACACAGTTTAGCGTAGATGGAGGAATCTGGTGCACTTTCCATCTGACCATAGAAAATCCTCAGATAATCTATATATTATTAGTTAATGTTGGCATGGTCTTTGATTTTGGTTTAAGTGGGGTGATTCTCCGTGGGGTATCCCCGGAGTCATCTCCGGAGGTTCTCCTCAAGGAGAGCTTCTAAATCTTTCAAGGCTTAGATATCCATATTTTCTTTATCATTTCTTTTATTTTCATCAAACGTAGGGTCAATTAGTTTTCTTTCATGGACACATCTTAAATATACTTTTCTTAAAAATAAATTGAAATCTTTGTAAATTGTGAAATCGTCCATTCCATTAACAGGGGAAAATGATAAACCTCGTTTTAATAGGTTTATATGTTGTGCTTTCAACTCAAAGTTGGTGAGATTAATCACATTTAGAGATATCTCTTCCCCTTGTGTATGGTTTGGATCTACGTGCGTTGATTTGTTCGCCTTGTCATCACTCTGTTCTCCCGACTGTTGTCTTGTTTTTTTATTGTTGCGTTTCCCTCTATGTTTCCTCTTTTTTCTTTGAACTTTGCTTATGTCCCCTCCTCCTCTAAATCTAAAAAACTGACCGTCTTATATGTGTGTTCCCCTTCACTCTCACTTGTTCCCTCCATATATCGTTCTTTATTTCTGAATTGTCTTTTTTTGGAGGGACTTCTCCCTCTTCTATTTGTTAGATCAAAAAAATTCCCTCTCTCCCAGTCGTCAAGGTGTCTTTGATATTTATTTTGTTTTGTTTGTCTGAGATTTTTTTGAATTCTTTCGATTTCCTTACGTAGGAATTCATTTTGTTTTTTTGAAGGAGTCATGATCTTTTAAAGGTTCCAAGTTCTTTTTTGTTCAATATATTTTAATTATTATAATTACACTTAAATACAATACAATTTACATAGTGCATTTAAAAAAAAGAAACAGGACAAAAGTATATCGTACATATATCTTTCACATACAATTTCTAACAAATCTACCTCCACATTCTTCTCTCATTCATTCCCACCTTTCATATCTTCTTCTGGATTGGGGTGAAGTCAGCATTTATACACCTGTAATGTTATTTCCCTCCCCGTAATCTAAACTCTGTGTCTGTCTCCCTGTCCACCTCCTCTTGGTGATCACTCTACTCTTCTTTTGTATACACTCTTCATGTGTTCAACTAAGTCTTAAAGACAAATTCTCCAATTATTTGTGTTACCTACTTTAATCCTCTAATCTACCCTATATATCTGTGTTCCTACTCTTAATATAAACCTAAATAGTAAATCCCAAAAATTACATTCCATTAACAAACCTTATATGTGCCTATCCCCATCCACCTTGCCCCTTTCACTTCCCCAATTAAAACCTCTTTTCTACCCTCCCTTCCCCCATTGCGTCTTTCTCCCAATCCTCCAGAATACATTCTTCCTTCCCTGTTATCGTGTCACTCATACAGGTCTAAAATCTGAATTAATATTTTATATATCTATCCAGAAGTCATAATTTTGCAACTTGGCCGTGTATTCATTACCCTTCTATTTCTGTAGTAATATCAGTAGTGTCTATGGATACGTAATTTCTTCCCCTCTATGTCCCCTTCTTACTACTTAATCCTTTTCTAACACCTTTCTAAATTCCTCTGTCTGTCTATATATTCCCCATTTTTCACATATCTTTTTGTAACTTTCCTTTTTATTTGTATCCTTTGCACTTAGTTCCTCCATATATCTTATTTCTTTCATTGTGTTAGACCAATTCTCTGATGTAGGTGGTGCCGTTGATTTCCATCCACGCGCTATACTAACTCTAGCTGCAACCAGTACAAATCTTAGGATATCGCTTTTTATATTTTTTAGAGATCCAGGTATCAGTGATAATATAGCCATTAAGGGATCTTTTTCAATGTTTTGTCCCTCTATAGAGTTATATATTTCAAATACTGACTCTGAAAACGGCTGTAGTCCACCAGATATGCAAGTATGTCCCCTCCTCTAAGATACCTCTCCAACATCTATCGGACAATTCTGGATTTATATGTTTAATACCCTCTTTCGTTCTGTTATTCTGTTTTGTTTTGTTCTGCATTGTTATTTTTCCTTTTTGTTCTTTAAATCAATTCTCCAGATCCATATGTGAAGATTCATCTCATGCAGAATGGCAAGCGATTGAAGAAGAAAAAAACCACCATTAAGAAAAACACACTGAATCCCTACTATAATGAGTCATTCAGCTTTGAAGTTCCTTTTGACCAAATCCAGGTGTGGACCATAAATAATAATTTGCATTCAACGTGAGAAATGATCTTGTTATAGAAATGTATATCGTATTTAAATCCGCTGCGCTTAAAAGCACAGTTCTCTGCTCTCCCGGTATAATTTGGCTGAATGTGCTCAGCAAGGAAACACAGACACTCGCTGTTGTCTCGTCAGATCCTCAGTCGCTGTCCTCCTCACTTGAGGAAGACTTTTTTATTTATAGGGGTAACACAGGAAGTGCTGGCCACAACAGCCACCACTTCCTCATACAACAATAGAATACAGAGCCAGCCAATGAAACACATGTATACATCTGAATAGACAATAGAAAAGGGGAGGGTATGCTCATGCATGTGAAGCACCGTGCACAGTTAGCAGCTGCTAGTTTATGTTTCACGTGCACATTTGTTAACAATGGATTTCCCGCCAAAAACACTTACACAAAGGAAGCAGCATGTTTGCACATGGACGACGCCATCTTTAATCTCCTGTTAACACTGGAGCGAACTTTATCCAGCATTGCTCAGTGAGCAATGCCCAATAAAGTTATTATGATTTGCATTGATGGGAGCTTATGTGCATGGACAATGCCATACTACTTCCAACGCGCTGATCAGACGCATCAGAAATACCAACGCACGTTCCTTTCAAAAATGCAGATATGTATCTTAAATAATACTATGTTCTCAAAGCAAATGTATACACGCCACGCTAATAAATCCACGCACCGCGCAGGGGCCCTAGCTTGGCATCCACATACTCGCTAAGAGAACATTGCTCCGCCATATCCACTCCAATGGTTTATTTCCAGTGCCGAATAATCCGGGTCACGCTCCAATCGAGCGTGACGCAGAAATCCGGACACTGAGACATGATGACAATATTACACTAAAAACACATCCTAGTAAAATTTCCACAACAGTCTTGACATTTCAAATGTCTTCTAAAGCATAAATGTTTTTGTTTTTTCATTTCCATTATTTGTTGTTTGGGAATCTAGTAGGATTATTGAAAAGATGTTGTTATACCCACATTATTAAATTGGACTGTTGTCTGATATAAATAACTTAAAAGAAAAGTAAAGCCAAGCCTTATTTTTGGATTCACTTCTTTTTTGCCAGCTGTTAGCTGACAGCACGGAGCCGTGCTGCAGCCTAGAAGTATCCCTAGAATTACTAGAATTACTAGAAGTAATTTTGTTGCATCCACATTGGCTACTGAAGTGACAGATGGCTCTGCCTTTCTGCACTTGGTTTAAAGTCAGTCAGTCGTGCACACCCACTCCCCTGTCTGTTGCTCCCTGTTGGAGAAAGTGACCAACAATTACGGCTCTCTGCTGGGAGAAGAGACAGAGAGATGATCAAAGGTTGCATAATCAGTCAGTTCTTGGACTTAGAGCCAACATGTGACAGTTGCAGTGTCCCTATCTGGCTCTAAGTATTGGGGAGAGTATGTTTGCTCCTTCAAATAATGTTATAATCATGTTATTTGAGATATGAGAACATAATTCTCAATTCATGTAGAATTGGTCCCAAAATGCAGACAGGATTAGATTCAGGCCAAATTTAATGAATTTGGATGACCCAAGCCAAAGCTAACTTTCAGTTTGGTTCCAAATGGCTTCTGTGTGCCATATGACCTCCAAAGCAATCAGAGCTGCTGGAAAATGTTATATTTACTCTGGTATAAAAGGAAGCCTCCTGAGTTACTTAAGCTGGCCATACACCTATAGATTATTTGCAGATTTGCTATGGGCAAATGGAAAAAGTGCTACAGATTGCTCTATCTAGTCTAAACTGTGTGGATGGGGGAATCTTCCACTGGGCCAAGCTTCAGTATCTTTCTAGTCGGTCCTGCTTGCTCTCAAACCTGAATAATGCCTGCATCCAATCAGATTGTTCAGGTATTTTGACAACCTTCGGGGACGGACTAGCAAGATACTGAAGCTTGGCCCATCGGGAGATTCCTTCATCCACACAGTTTAGCGTAGATGGAGGAATCTGTTGCACTTTCCATCTGACCATAGAAAATCCTCAGATAATCTATATCTGTATAGCCAGCTTTACCCATCACTGGACGACATTTAACAAGCACCTTGTTCTTGGTACAATGTTTGAAAAAAGTGCCTCACACAATTTGTGCACCTTTGCCTACTTCTGTAGTTACCTTTCCACCACAAAGGCTTCTTCCACCTACAGGCCCAAGCCTGTACAATTTCTGAAATCACTGTCTCGTGCTACTTCTGCACCTATACCCACCTCTCTAGTTACCCTGCAATCCCAAGGCTCCTACCACCTATCAGGCCCAAACTCTGAACAATATCTTGCTATCCCTGCTACATCTTATGCTTGAACTGCTTCTGGTCATATTCACATTGCTCCTGTCAGAACAGTCAAAGCTGTCATGCCCCAAAAACTCATGGGAATAAAAAAATTTCCAGAGAGGTTAAGGACTTCAATTCTGCACAATATTGCACAATGTGCTGCTCTCCTATGCAAAATTTCTGGAGCCCGTTTTGGATTCCCATTGACTTCAGTGAGGCTTGTAATTCAGACATTTTGGAGGCTCACATGTTTTTAAGTTTTACAACTAATCAAACTTTTCAAAAGTTAACTTATCTTTATTCTTCAGTATGCATTTACTATCAAATGCCTGTTCAACAAAAGAATGATTGTGTTATGGACAGCTGGTGTCTAATGTAGGTGTATCTCCTTGAAAAGGCCATAGCACTGAAAAAATTAATTTCAGGGGGCAATATTAGCATTGATTATTTCAGGGGTACCATATTGTTTAATAACTTTATTTAGTTTTTCTTTTGTTTTATGTCCACAGAAAGTACAAGTGGTCCTTACGGTGCTTGATTATGACAAGCTTGGCAAAAATGAAGCTATTGGAAAGATCTTTGTTGGCTGCAATGCTACAGGAATTGAGTTACGTCATTGGTCTGATATGCTAGCCAATCCTAGAAGGCCAATTGCTCAGTGGCACACTCTACAGCCAGACGAGGAAGTGGATGCTGCCCTTGGACTGAAGACTTCATGATGTCACTTCCTCTGTGTGAATGTGGGTGGGAGTGTATGTGTGTGTTTGTGCAAGCACAGCTCCACATGCTGCTGTTGTATATACCTGTTCAAAGCTGTAGCTGTGAAATAGCTTTGAGAAACCTCCTGTTTTGTGGTAATTTTTGTAAATTACTAAAATATTTATAGGACTTGGCCAAGAGGTAGTATCCTTTTTCAAAATATCTCAGCTGGTTAATATGAAAATTAAAATACTTGAACTGATCATTGAAACAATCTTTTCTTATAGGTTATGAAGCATAGAAGCACCAGTATGGTTCCTGTATGCATTTTTACAACTAGTTTTTAGATATTTTTTAATTTTCACCGAAATAGCATTAAAAACTTTGCCTTAGAAAGCTTAGGGGTGAAGAAACTAAGTGTGCAACATTAAAATAAATATATTTGTTGAGAATGATCAGGGACACAAAAGATATATGAGGATAGATTTTTGACAATTTTAAGACATTTTTGTGAAGAATGTTAATTCTTAATGTAATTCAGTCAGGTGAAGAGAAACTTTTACCTACAAAAAAACATTTACTTGAAGGGATATGAAAAAAAAAAGATCTCTTAGTGATTTGAATTGACTGTCCATTTTGTATACTGTTTCACTTGAACTCCAAAATGGAGATCAAAATTAAAGTAATTAAAAGTGGATATGTAATTCCCATATGATATCTTAACATCTCAAAAATGTAGACTTTATTAATGTGTTTACTGGGGATGCACCGATACTTTTCACATACCAGTGCGGATACCCTGCATTTTCATGAGAACTACCATTGTTGCAGCAGTTGCGGCCGGGACCTAGCTCTGGCACTCCACCATTGTCCTGAAATCATTAGTCTGTACTGTTTTAGAAAAACGGTCACATGGCAATAAACAAAAATGTATCAGTACTTGTATTTGTTAGTACTTGCGCAAGTATCAGTACTTGTACTTGCAAAAATGGTATCGGTGCATCCCTATATTTATATTTATAAAACAAAATCATACATTAAAACGGATATGTACGAATCCCAGGAGCTCCGTATGCTCCTTACAAATGACAGCTGCCTCCTAACTTTTGAATTTTTCTCTAGTCTAGTCTTGGAGCTCGAAAGTATGTGTACTTGTACTTGTACCGAGTACGGTACTTGGTATCGGTGCATTCCTAGTGTTTATCCATCCAAATAATATGCTTCTATTGTGGTTAGACACTTATTGGCCAAATTTAGCTTCCAATTACCATCCCACTTTGGAGTCTCACTCCTCTTGTTGTCATTGGGAAGATTCTCAGTTCTACACTTTGTCCATATTTTGTAAGAAAAAAACCCAACAGGGAGAGTAGAACCCATTTTCATGACCATAGCAGATCTTGTGAAGTTAGGAAGCACAGATATTACCATTGTATTTAGCAAACCAATATATATCCAGAACTAACATTTCAGTTCTAGACAGACTGACCCTTTAATTTAGCTTACTGAGACGTAAAATGTAAAGCAACTTGTTGTATTCCCTTAATGTTCACATCCTTATTCTCACTATGTCAACCAGAATAAGAGTTTAATTGAGAATTTATGCTTATATACAGATTTCAGTGATCTTTGGTTACACAAGTTGTGGTAGAAATGTGCATTTAACATACTTTATTAGATGTTATTACTGCTCTTTTAGCCTTCGTTAACACTTGTGTGACTGCATTTTCATGCATTTTCTAGCACATTTTTGTTGTACATTTTTTGTGCTTTTTTTGCGATTTAATTTTTTTTTTATGTGGTTTCATGCTATATGTGTTTTTATTTGGGCCAGTAAGGGTGAAATAAAGTATGGGTAAAGCCTGGGTTACTATGTAGCACCAATGGAATCACATTCATCTTTCTAAGCCCCTCTTTGCATCTGGGTGCTCTGTATAAACACACGTGTAAGATGCACTGAGGTACCTTAAATCTCACCAAAATGCATGATGCATCACATTGTTTAACAAAACATTAAAACAGACTTCTTTGGTGGCCCATTTATTTCAATACATGCCACACAAAAAATGCACATACATATGCACAAAATGTTGCACCTGTACAAGTGTGAATGAAGGCTTAAAGTCACACTGTAGTGCAATGCATAGGTGTGAATGGGCTGCATAGAAAATAATGGGATTACTTTTGTTGAGTGGTGGCTGAAGAGCTTTAAATTGCATAGATGTCAACAAAGACTTCTACTGTTTTTTCTATTTTTGAATACTGCAAATAAAGTAGCCAGTTAATGGGTCAGACAATCCAAAATTGATATACGGATAGTTGCTAGCGGAATTACTTGCTTGCTAGCTTTGTGTATCTGTTGGGGATTCTGGGGGAGACCTTTTCAAAAGTTTTAGCTTAATCTTTGCATAAACATTACAGGAGAATTTTACTATCCTGCTTAGTTAGTATTTGATTTTACATTAGGGCAATGAGGTGAAAGGAAGAATGTGGCCAATCCTGATGCAAAAAATCCAGTGACACTCTATGACTAGTGAAGGTAGGGGGGTGGGGGTAGAGCAAGGAACTCTAGCAGAAAGGCTCGTTAGTAAGGACTTAATGCCTGAAAGATATGGGAAGTCACTATCTATGTATTACTAAAATATGGACTATTTTGTGAATTAACCCTTACAAGTAAGGAATTAATTAGAAAATAAACTCTGAAGTCTGCAATTCATTCTAAGATTTACCATACCAAAGATAAGTCAAATATATCAATGTGATTTATGGTAAAATTAAAAACAAGTTGTGAAATTCTTTAGACGCCATTCATTTGCCTGAAAGACAATAGAGACAATAAAAAAAGACAATATTGATGCATTACAAGGAAGTGTTAAGTAAATACTTTGGACTCATGTATAAAAACAAAGGAAATCCAAAAAGTATGTAGCCTCTAGTAATCAGTCAGTTTTTCAGCGCAGGTTAAAATATAAACAAAATTCTGTTACATAGTTACATAGTATTTGGGGTTGAATAAAGACATAAGTCCATCAAGTCCAACCCATATAGGTCCATGCTCTACTCATTCTTAGGAATACTTGTACCCCTGAATATTACGGTCCCTCAGGAAATCGTCCAAAAGTTTCTTGAACAATTCCACACTCTTAGCTGAAATCACTGCCGGTGGCAGTGAGTTCCAGACCCTAACCGCTCTTACTGTGAAGAACCCCCTTTGCCCCTTGTGCTGGAATTTTTTCTCCACCAATTTTAGATGGTGGCCTTTTAAACTTAAAGAGTTGGTTGCCAATGTTGCTGTCACCATTTAACATCTTGTACATGAAAATCATATCCCCCTTAAAGGAGAACTATGAGGTGAGTGCTTTTCACTCACCTCATAGTTCTAGCCGACCTGTGACAATGAGACTGTTACAGGTCGCTTCAGTAGATCAGGAGGCGTTCGCTCACCTCTCGATCCTGTCACGGCGTGACAGGGGAGGGGCTGGATTCCCCCCTCCCCGCTCCGATCCGCCAGCGCTGACTGGTGGAACGGACGGGGGATGGGGCGGGTACAGCTGGCTCTGCCTTTGGATAGGCAGAGCCAGCTGTAATTCACGCAGCTGGGCAGATCCCGGCACAATTGTCGGGATCCGCTTCAGCTGCGGCGTCTCAGTATACCACGAGCAGCTGCTCGCGGTATACTGCGGCGTCTCAGTATACCGCGAGCTACAGCTCCCGGTATACTGAGCCTTGGGTGACGGGAGGACGCTATTTTGTATCCTCCCGTTACCCTAAGGAGAACTATGGGGAAAAGACTTAACCCCATAGTTCCCTTTTAATCTCCTTAATTCCAACGTGAACATGTTTCAATTCAGTAGCCTTGTCTCATAGCTCTGGTCCTCCATTCCCCTAATTAGTTTGGTTGCCCTCCGCTGGAATCTCTCCAGCTCAAGGATGTCCCTTCTTAGTACCAGCGACCAAAACTGGACCGCGTACTCCAGATGAGGCCGAACCAATGATCTATAAAGTGGGACAATTATAGACTTGTCTCTGCAATACATCCCCTTCTTAATACAGGAAAAGACCCTACTTGCTTTGTTTACAGCAGCTTGGCACTGCAAGCTACCATTCAGTTTGTGGTCTACAATGACCCCCAAATCTTTTTTTATTTCTGACTTCCCTAGTGGCATACCCATGATGGTATAGCCCATTTGTTTATTTTTATTTCCAAAGTGCATTACTTTGCATTTATCGACATTAAACCTCATCTGCCATATTATTGCCCACTCCCCTATTTTATCCAGGTCTTCCTGTAATGTTATATTGTCACGATCCGTTTCTAATACCCTCCCTATTTTTGTATCGTCTGCAAACACAGAAACATGGCTATTCACTCCCTCCCTGATATCATTAATAAATAGGTTGAACAATATGGGACATAGCACAGATCCTTGAGGCACACCGCTCATTACACTAGCCCAGTCTGAAAAGGTGCCATTTATAGATACTCTCTGGACACGTTCCCGTAGCCAGTTTTCTATCCATGAACACACCACTTCATCTATGCCCATACCTCTCAGCTTGTGTATTAAGCTTATCAAATGCCTTTGAGAAATCCAGATATACCACATCTACCGGCCTCCCTCCATCCATATCTCTGCTTACCCCCTCATAAAAAGTTAGCAAGTAAGTCAGGCAGGAACGGTCTTTCCTGAACCCATGCTGATTGTCATTAACTATGCCCTTATCCTTAACAAATTTTACCAAATAGTCCTTAATTATACCTTCTAACAGTTTACAAACTACCGATGTTAGACTGACCGGCCTATAGTTCCCTGGTTGGCATCTAGCCCCCTTTTTGAATATTGGAACTACCGTAGCCCTCCGCCAATCACATGGTACCCTACCAGTCACTAAGGATTCCTTAAAAATTAGGAATAATGGTCTTGTTATAACCTGGCTTAATTCCTTAAGTACCTTGGGGTGAAGGTTATCTGGTCCAACTGCTTTATTTGCATTGAGCATTTTAAGTCTATGTTCTATTCCGCTTTCCGTCAACCATTGTGGTATATTATCGATTGAACTATGTGTTTTATCACGTACGTCGAACCCGTTTCCCTCCTGAGTGTATACTGAGGAGAAAAAATTGTTCAGCGC